TATAGTATACTTCTTTAGTATATCTGCAAATGGCCTTTGCATCGCTAATGTGTCAGTTGTTAGGAATCTTCTACTTGAATTACAATTGGCAATACTGCTTTTATGTTTTTATATTAAACACGTGGAAGCAGTTATAGAATTTCAAACAGCTGATTTAGTAGATGTTAGCATATATGTCATTCCTAAGCTAAGACACTCAAATCCTTTTCTTGTTTTTATTAATAATTACCATAAATGATCTGACTATTCTTTTTATCAATTTTCCGGTCAAACATAAATAATTTCTTTCCTACTTTGCCCAGTGTTGGAGCAGAGCATGTTAGACGTACATGTGCTGAGATTATTCAACCTTCTGCTCTGAACAATAAGGAGCAGTAAGAAACAAATTTATCATAATCATCTATCTGCTGCAGCTGCATCTGCATCTGCTTTCATTCTGTTCTTTTCGCAAGGATTTTAGTTTGATGTAATAAATGTACATTATTGAATTGAATCATTTCTTGTAATTCACTGTCATTTTTATTTATTATGTCCTTTTACTTTGGATGTAATAGATGTATGTTTTGAGTATTTCTTTTGCTGTTTTTGTTCTAGCATCTCTGCATCTCTATATCTATGTAATATTAAAGAATGGAATTTTTTGTTCTTTTGTCTATTTCATTTCAAATTAGATATCCACGTACATCTTTGAATTCTAACTTCTGGTTGCTTTTGTTTACAAAATGTTGTTTCAGATGCTGTCAAGCTCTGTATTGGACTAAGAATGAATTTTCGTGTCTGAGAAGAAAATTTGAGGCTGTGGTGCAAGTACTTTGTGGTGTTAATAAAATCTCTATTTTTTACAATTAATGACAGATTTTATTTTTTTCTGAGACAGACTGCAAAATTTGTAATCATCTTAATGATAAACTGAAAAAGGATGATGGATACATGCTTCATTTCTTGCCTTGGTTTGTCTTTATCTTTTTATAACATCTTACTTGGTTCAAGAGATTAAATTTTGCATTCACTTATAGCTTTATCTTCCTAACATTTTTGAAACTTTCTTAGTATGAATTCTTTATATCGCTTGATTCTCTAATCTCTTCTTCTTCCTTTTTGTTTTCTTCTTTTCATGTTCATCATTTAAACTGCAGATGGAGAGGAGGATCATTGAGCTTACAAGTGGAAATTGAAAGGAAGTCAGAATCTATCATTGAATTATCCAACTTATCTCCTTCACTTAGAGTTTCTCTCCTTGAAAGTTTGATATGGTTTATTGATGTGTCCATTTCCGGCTTATCTGCTGTAGACTTAGCTCTAAAAACTGGAAAATATGATCAATTGATCAGCAGCCTTTTCCCTTTTTATTTCTATATGGTGTATGTGCATTTCAGGTTTATCAGAATGTTAGTTATTTCTCAAAGTGATGCTAATCAGCAATTACATAATAAACTATATGTTGAAACTTTGTTGTTCTTTAGAGTGCTATACCTTAACTAAGAATCTAAGATGTTCTGTGGAATATTTTAACTCTTTATGTAGAACTGCAAGTGCTAGATAAAATGTTACCAGAATGATCAGGCTCTGACATCATAAAATGTTTCTTTTTTGTGTGTTCTATACTGACCATCTAATGTTAAAGAGAGAGAAAATATATTCTTTAAATTTGTAAGAGGCAGAATTCGTCAATTCAAGAGCACTTTATGCCAGTATCATGAACCTCTTCTCCAAAAAAACCGACTTGATTTTCCTAAGGTTGCATTTATGTCGAAAGTAAATTAGTTGTGGAATTTAATCGTAGCCATCTTTGATTTAGTATAAAAGATACCTCCAAAACATGAGTGGAAATGTAAGGATTGGCTAACACCATCTTGTTTCTGCCTCAACTGCCTCTTTGTGATTCTAAATCATGCAGGCAATATCCAGGAATGTAGATAGAAGTTTGAATTGCAAACATATAATACTCTCTTACATGTAGTACTTCTAGTCTCTGGTTACAATTGCATGCAGATGTGCTATCTTGTTGCTACTGTATGGAGATGTGATTTTTTTCCACTATTTATGCTGTGGAACTCTAATCTGTGTGTATTTTAAGCCAAACAGCAAATAGTACTCAGAAAACCTTTTTAACCATTTACTAGTGTGCTTTTTTTTTTTTTTAAAGCATATATGATAGTGCTTTAGCTACTATGGCTGAACCAAGTTTATCATATTATTGAAACGGTCCACAGTATATGGTTCTCAGATTGTGACTTGTAGGATGGACCTGCTATGCCCCATTAGGCTTAAATAAGGTGTATATTAGGACCCATGGTACCTGGTATAATGCCATGTGGGAATTGGATGGGACCCACTTCATGGGGTTTAGAGTATTTGCCCATTTGGAACTTCCATTTTCTATATCATACCATAGTTGCTAAAATTAAGGTGCCCTTTAATCTACACTCACCACTTTCATTGTCTATTTCAAAGATCTTAGGGTATCTGATAAAACAAGATATTACAGTCTTACAGATACAGTTTTGTATGATCCAAATCGTAGCACATCTGGATGCATTTGTAAAGCCTTTGTCTAGTTCTTTTATTTGTTCATTCCCTTGTTAGTAAAGCAAAATCTTTTATATATGTTGTGCATTAGAATAGCTTATTTATGGCTTTGATTGCTTGTCCCGACAATTTTCTTTTCTTTTTATTGTTATTTTTTCGGCCAACCTGAGTCCTAGCAGTTTATGATTGTTGAGAACTTTGTGTACAATGATATATTCTCACTAAATCAGTAGAGAGATGATGTAATATCCTTGTTGTTGAAATAAAAGGACAAAAAGTTCTTTTTGACATTTGTCATTTTTCTTTGATGGTGTATAGGTGTTAATTTGCAGATATTAGGTGTTTAAATCTGTGTGGCATCATGCTAAACTTGTGGCATTCTGGTGCATATTGTTTTTTTCCTGCAGAAAATTTTGCCTTTTCAATCTCATGGGAAGTGCTTACATCTCATGAAAAGGTCCAGTCTTCTCACCTTTGTCTTCTCACCTTGGCATAAAGGTTTTCTGGTTTTCACTTTGGGTTTATGTTACAAATTTAGAATGGCTTTGTCTATTGTTAATGGATTGCTGGAAGAATATGTGCAGTCATTGTTCAACGAGGTGAACATGATGTGCTGAACGTTGATTTTATTTCTTTATTTATTTTTATTTTTATTTTTATTTTTAAATTTTCAGTGCTATCATGTTTGCTGTGAGTATCTTCACCCACAATTTGTTATCTATTTCGCCAACTTGAATGCATTGTATTTTAACTTTGAGTAGCTTCATATATATATATATATAACACCTTCGGAGCAAAGCACATCTATATAACATAGAAAGGAAGGTGTATATATATATATATAACACCATAAACAGGTATCTATGTTAATAAGAAGTTAATTAAGAACTAGTTGAAAAAGAAAATGAATTAATCC